TGCTGCTTGGCCTGCTGTGTTCATCCAGCCCTGCACCTTGTTGTCTCGGATTCTCCAGCATCTGCAGTTCCTACTATCTCAGAGCCAGGTGATGAAGGTTTTTCCCCTCAAAGCACATTAACGCCCCAGCCACTGCTGGCATCCACTTCACCACAGCTCAAACATCCCTTTCCAATTGGGAGGAAGAATTGAAACAACAATCACTGTGTGACCCTCTCTTTGTCATACCCCCCTGTTCAGACTTTCCTGTCTTCTCGTCACATTTGCACTACATGCAATTACACTTCTCTCTTCCAACATTTTGTCTGTAAAATCTACTAGATGGCTATCGGCACAATGCAGCACCAAAATTATAATTGCTTTCATTGACAAGCTTCCAGGGGACACCTACTTATAATTTATCTGAAGCATTATCAGGTGAACTTCAGTCCTATTTTTCAGTGTAGAAATTAATGCTTTCATCAAAATTGCACCAGCAAACCCGTTTTCTAAGCTTTAAAAACATCACTCCTGTTACTATTGCAAATCACTCATGGATTCCCTACAAATACAAATTTTGGGGGTTTTTTTGCATAATTCTTGCTATATAGTACAGGGAATATTATATAATCATAACATAGAATCCCTGCAGTGTGGAAGCAGGCCATTCAGCCCATCGAGTCCACATCGACCCTTTGAAGAGCATCCCACCCAGACCCACACCCCTACTCTATCCCTGTAACTCTGCATTTTCCACTGCTAATCTACCTTGCCTGCACTTCCCTTGACACTATGGGCAATTTAGCTTGCCAATCCACCTAACCTGCACGTCTTTGGACTGTGGGTGGAAAGCAGAGAATCCAGAGGAAACCCAAGCAGATACTGCGAGAAAGTGCAAACTCCACATAGACAGCCACCTGAGCTACATTTGAGCCTGGGTCTCTGGCACTGTGAGGCAACAGTGCTAACCACTGAGCCACTGTGCCACCCACTTTACTGTTTTATATTTCTCGCAGGCTCTGCCGAGGCACTACTATCAATAAAATTTTCCTTTTCTGTAGCAGGCACATCAGGTTTTTAAAGAATGATCAACCCTGCTCTTAATTATTCTCTCTGTCTTTCCAGAACATTTCAGAACCAACAAGACTTCATTGCTAAAATCTCTTCAGGTGAAGGTAGGCTTCTGTCAAACTTACAAAATCATGGCCTTTTTTAATTATTGGATTTGGTTCTCTGACATTATTTCTAATGCCTCACATATTAATTTACCTCCAAATATAACCTTTTTGTATATCCCAAAGACACTTTTCTCTTCAACTTTCCCTATATTCTCTTTCTCCTGAATCTCCCTTCCATCTGGTTACATCTCTCGACAGATTAGTCACTGTTTGAGCTTACCATTTTAAATTGCATTGGCAATTCCCATTGGCTGTTTTTCCCCAATTCTCTTAGCTTTTCCTGTTTTTTCTACATCCTTAGTTTAAATCCTCCCTCACTGTCCAACTTGACCTCTCTGTGAGGACACTGGTACCAATTGGTTTAGCGCAACGAGTAAATCAATGCTGCTTTAACCCAATGGAAGTGACAATTAAGTATGTTAAATGAGACAATAACACCACCTCAACTGAACTAAGAACCACCAGTACTGCTGTCAAATAGTATAAACCCAAGTGCAGTGACAGGCTACCATTTCTGGCTGTAGGTAAGCTGAATGCACAATTCATTTAATGAAACGTTTAGTCCAGTGATTTTCCAGCCCCTAGAAAAGGTTTGTCAGAGGAGAAAAAAATACATATAGTACAAAAAAGTAGTGAATAATTCCAACTATAACACTGCCCTTAACAAGACTTTGTCTATTCCTTCAATGCTTCGCTGCTTAGCAGCAAAAGCCCAGAGGTATTTTTGAACTACTTCTTGAAAATAATCTTCATCAAAGAAAAACAGGGGAGGAGGAGCTTTGTTAATAATCTGTGATGTATTCTATCAAATCCCAAAAAATATGGGTGTGCTCAACGGAGATCATAGATGATAATCAACTAAATAACCTGAAATTGTAGGAAGAAGATTATTATAGTAAGCCTCTGAACTGCACCTGAAGAATTGCTCCATCAGTTAAAATCATACAATCTCTACAATGCAAAGAGTGGCCTTTTGACTCATAAAGTTTGTACTGACCCTCATCCTATCTCTGTATTTACCATAGCTAACCCACCTAGCATGTGAATCCCTGGACACTGCAGGGCAATTTATCTTGGCCAATTGACCTAATCTGCACATCTTTGGACTGTAAGGGGAAACCAGAACACCTGGCAGAAACCCCATGCAGACGTCAGGACAACATGCAAACTCCACACAAAGAGTTGCCCAAGGCTGGAATTGAACCTGGGCCCCTGTTGCTCTGAGATAGCAGTGCTAACCACTGTGTCGTTGTGCCGCCCATAACCCTTAAAATGTTGCCATATAGTTATAAGGGTGTGATTGCCATATTGCTTTAACTGATATTTGGATGCCAAGAAGATAACAGTGTGAAATGAAATCCAATGCCATATATGGAACATAGATAACCTGAACAGTAATATTTACTGAATTTTTGATTTTGTGAGGATTTGAAGGATCCATCCTCTCCTAACATCTTGCAAGACCTACACAAATAAAACAAAACTACAAAAATAACAAGATTATTATGAGTAAATCACATTAGGTGGGATCATCAAAATGTATTCTGAATATTTAGGAATAAGGGCAAATGTTTCCCTAATTAAATTTGGATGTAAAGGAGAGCTTAAGCACAAGGTATAGAAGAAAACCAGGTAGGAGAGTTGTGAATATAAATAACAGGGTCTACCCAAATTTAAATTAACAGGAAGAAAATTTGGCAGGCTTGATTACGGTGATGAAACATATTTACCCAATTTCCCTCATGGACTGTTTCCAACTAGTCTTTTGTGTTTAAAAGACAATAAATGGAAATATGCCCTGTAATATGTTGAATATATTCATGCAATTTTTGTTTCATCCATAAACCAAATTCCAATAAACTTGAGAGAGGAGATTTTACAAATTTGATCTTACAGAGCACATATCAATATTTCGGTATGGGGGACAAATTTTCTGTCCACTAATTAGCCAGAATTGAAAATACGGGGGAATTCAAAAAATTACCCAGTATGTGTCCATAGCATGTGCTAAAGAGAAGATTTGTAAAACCCATCCTCAAAGACAAAAAGGAGAAAACCACAAATATATCTAAATTAAAACAGAAAAAAAAATGCATTAAAAAACACAAAAGATGCAAGATGGAAAAGAAGATAGATTTCTGTTTTTTGTTTTGAGTCTTCTGTTACTATTTCAGGTACACATTTTGACCAATGTTTTACCTTGCGCCTTGCAAGGATTTTCATTTCAGACTTTTAACAACCTGACTGCAAAGGCAATCCATTATTAATTCTCCATTGAAAAAAAATGGACTACTGTGGCATCCAATTTCAGGCTTCAGCTGTTATCTTCATATCGGTGCTCTCAGAATTTACCTTATATATGTCCAGGATTCCGCATTGGTAGTCAAACCTGGTATACAGTTCATTCAGCATACTAATTACTTGCATTGGGGTGCATTGTGCACAGATGGCAGTAAAGCCAACAATGTCAGAGAAAAGCATGGTAACATCATCAAACTTCCTCGCCTGTACTGATTTTCTCTGCCACAGTTGTTGGGCAACATCACCTGGGAAGATTGAATAAAGTAAGTCCACTGTCTTCTTTTTTTCTTCCTCCAAGGCTTGGTGTGCCTTTTCAAGCGTTGCTTTCAATTTGTCCATGCGTTTCTTCAGGCCATCCTGGGCTTTAGCCTGTTCACCTACTAAAATAACATCACGAGTAGCATCATGGATTGGTATGTCTGACAGATGTAAACCTCGTCCCATTAATTGCTCCAGCTTGTCAACACATGGTGAGCCCAGGAAAAGAATAGAGTTTGATTCAGGCACATGAATCATTTGTCCCTTAATCTCCATCACCTAAGAAGAAAGGCAAAGACTTCATTAACAGTTTGTACAATAAATCAAATATAATATCTAATCACAAATCATTCAAAAAAACAATGAAACAAGCACAAATAATACACTATGCCATTTAATTTTGTTCAGAATAACGATTGTGAATGGTTTAGGGGCTATATGCAAGACAATGCAAACATATTTGAATGATCTTTAATGCATTGAGAAGCATTTGATGCTTCTATTAAGATCAAAATTTCCTTACTTAATCTCCAATGCCCAAGAATAAAATTGAAAACAGGCCAAACATTGAAATAAATGGTATCAATTCTAACATTAGCTTGGTTGCTCCAAAGTTCTCGCTATTTGTTATATTTGTAAGTCAAATGCTTTTAAAATTGCAGTACAATTACAGTTTGGATATAATAAATCCAATAGTCATTTGAGCCACTCCTGCCTGCCACTTAGCTCTAGTGCCAACACCATCATACAGCATGGTTTTAATGTAATCATTTTAACTTCATCAATTTGAAAGGATACTTCTGGGATTTCTTTTACACGCCACATTAAATCTGGTGGAGAGTGAAACAGGGGTTTATCTGATACTGTCTGTATCATCAGGTTAGTTAGGTTATAATTACCCCAAGATCAACTTATTAACTTCAATTCATTGGTGTTAGCTGAATGCAACTCCCATGTAGGATGGAAGTATGGTAAAGAAGAATTTGATATCATCATATTGCAAATTTTAGAAGCTTGGAATGTTTGAAATTATGCAGCATCCATTTGAGGAATTGCACAACTGCATATAATCATACATGTTTGAAAACCCAAATAGGATTGCCAGGTAGATGATTCATGTGAGATTTTACGGAACTTTTAAAACATTGAGTCAAACAAGGGAGGCAGAACATTGGAATTTGCTTAAGGGCATAACACTTCAATGAAGTCAGTCCACAGATACTTCTGGAACAAAAGTGACAAATACTTTGTTATCTCAGATTCTCCAGCATGGGCAGTTCCTACTATCTCTGAAACATTAGAACGGCTTGGTGCTAATTGCAAACTCAGTTTCCTCTCTTTAGAAGAAGGTGTCAGTGGCTTTCAGTGTTGACTTTCTCAACCCTTGAATTGCAGAAAAATGCCAGAAAGAGAAAAAAGAAATCAGTGACTTGATAGGCTGCCAGACTAGTCAGTTTCCCTTCAGTGTCATGGACATCAACACGTGGCTCAGTCTCGAAAATGCAATATTATCCTTCAGCAACACTATGGCTAAGGGCTTCATTGACATTTTTGTCAAAGTATTTTTTCCATTTGTCTAACATGCAGAAACTTTAGTATCATGATACCAGCAGTTTGTACTCTGAAGTGCCCAATGTTATTTGGCAGACATCACACAAACATTATCTTTCACTTAAAGCGCATAATCTAATTTACTTACAGCAATATGCATTTCAAACCTGCATCTCTGAATGTAACAACAATTTTAATCAGTTCCTATTTATACCAGCACAAGTAAATTCCATGTTCACGTGTGTACATTTAAACACAATCCCTATACAATTAAAAAAAAATCTCTCTAAATAGATATAACATATTGTGGAGCTGGAGGAACATATCAGGCCAGGCAGCATCAGAGGAGCAGGAAAGTTGACATTTTGGGTCGGGACCCTTCTTCAGAAATTCTCTCTAAATAATTAGTTGCTCAGACTAAATTTTAAGGTTTCCCATCCACCAGTTTAAAGTTGAGGAGAATTTGCAAAATGCAGCACATGGTGAGCCCACCAAATATTTGCCTCATCCAGACCTATCTTCTGTTTTAAATACTTGGCCAGATGGGTAGCCTTGCAGCTTTTACTGCATGAGATAGTGACAGATAAGAGACCTTTGAGGGTCTTCAGTGCCCATCAGAGGTATAAGGCACTACCATCTACCCCACACCCCCTCACCCCTCAACATACTGGCCCCTCAAATTTGGGACGTCCACTCTCTTCACTGGGAAATACTAACCCTGCCCTGCTGACATCCTGAATCTACCTGAAATTTTGCATCTGTAACTACTTCTGCAGGACAACTTGCAGCCCCAGCAGTGGCAACCGCTTGAACTTGACATTAACTAGACTGTAATTAGACGGAAGAACTGCAGTCACAGATGGGTTGGAAGTCTCAATCTTCGATGGTTCATGCTCATGGAGCGTTAATTTGTTTGTGGGGGAGGACTGTGGCGGTGGCTGGCGGTAGCAGAGAGGCATTCCCTGTCATTACTTGAGGTGTGTGGCAGAGCACAAAACCTGAACAATGGAAAAATCTTGGCTTTTATGACAAATTGATTAGTCATCTCCATATTCTGCAGCAAACATTATTATGACACTCCTCCAGGGCCCTAATAATTTATTTTTACATACATTTATTTTTATGAAACAGTCTGGCAGTTAATGTCTTACATCAATCCAATTAATTTTAGATACTTTGGGCAAACTTATCTTGGACTGGGGGTGGCAGGAGTACCTACCCCTGTGGGGTGGGAGTGGAAGCCAGGAAAATAGTGGAATGTCACACCCAGCCAGGTCCCAAATCATTCCCGTCACCAGGGAACTTTCCTCTTTGCAGCTGGAATGTAGTGAACTGTCAACTACAAAGTAGCAGACTGCCAATCTGCGATTTAAAGCCACATTGGGGTCTTTTGGAGCATCACTGCAAAAAGTGGACGTCCGCCACATGGTGTAGCTGTCACTTCATTGGAGGCCACTTCCCTGAGACAGTGAGAGAGATCACCTTCAAAGTGGAGGCAACAGTAGCAAAGGCTGTTCTATGACTTAAACATTGTTGCCAGCATTTTTTTTTGCAATGAAGGGAGCTGCTTGCTTGGCCCCTTTAATAAATGTAATTACTTTTGATTTCTATATTAGGCTGGAGGAAGTATGAGTTGGTATCTACAGAGTGTCCTGTGCTGCTCCTTGGCATCATTAATCACAAAATCTTCCACGGCTGTGAGAGTGAGTGGGAGGAGGTGTGTGCAGGGAGATGAGGGGGTGCTTTGGCTGGGTCTGTATGAGACACTGGGGGTCTGAGTGGGCAATGTGTGACTGGGGACTTATTTGGGTAAGTGCGAGTGAAAAGGGGGTTTGTTGCTGTTTGGATGAGGGAGTACAGAAGTGAATGAGCGAATAAGAGAGAGGTCTGATTGAGTGAATTATTGACTCAGGTGGTTGGGCATGACTGTTTGGTGGCTATATATCAAGTGATTGATGGAGCATCTCACTGGCAGTGTAATGGGTGGGTGAATGTCTAACTGGGGTTCTAGGTGGGTGAATAAGTGTATGTCTGACTGGGATTCGAGATGGGTGAATAAATGAGTGAATGTCGAACTGGGGGTCTGGATGAGTGAGAGAGAGAATGACAGTGTAATGCGTGGGTGAGTGATTGAGTAACTGCCTGGGGGTCTGAACAGATGACAGAGTGAATGATTGGAGATCTGGATGGCTGAAGGAGTGAGCGAGTGGGTGAGCAGATGGATGTGTGATTGACTAGGTTCTGGGTGGGTGAGTGAGTAAGTGACTGAGGGTCTGTATGGGTGAGCAGGTGAATGAGTGAGTGAGTGAGTGAGTAAGTAAGTGAGTGAGTGAGAGAGAAGGGATACTGAGCAAATGACCATATAGTTGCAGCATTGATATTTAGGAGGGTATTTTAGAATATACAGAATTGATACTTTACAAAGGAAAAGAAAGATTCCAAGAAGTGGACTGACCATCTGTGACTAACTAAAAATGTTAAAAGGTAATTAAAGGATGGGAGGAAAAATTTTTGAAAAATTAAAGAATAAAGAATAGATTAATGAAGAGAGAAAAATTTGTGAATGAGAGAAGGCTAGCTTAAAATATAACAATAGATAGTAAAAATTCTAATAGATATATAAAGGGAAAAGTAAACAAAGTGAATATTGATTATATTGAAACTGACACTTGGAAATTCATAATGGAAAATAAGGAGCCAGTGGATTAATTGAACAGGTATGTTAAATAAAAAGAAAATGCTGAAGAAACTCAGCAGGCCTGGCAGCATCTGTGGTCAGATGTGAAACAGAAATAAGGTTTTGAGTCCAGCGCGATTATTGTTCAGAACTGAAAGAAGCAGGAAAATGGTATTTCTGGACTCCTGGGCCATCAGGCTCATCCTTTCTGAATCTGTCCTGTCTGTTCCTGTAAGCATTTAAGGTTTCTGTGAGATCTTTCCTCATTCTTCTAAACTTCAGTGAATATATCCTAACTGATCCAATTTCTCTTCGTACACAAGTCCTACTTTCTCAGGAATCAGTCTGTTAAACCTTTGATGCATTACTCCAAAGCCACAACATCCTTCCTCAGATAAGGGACTAAAACTGCACACAATCCTCCACATGTGGTCCCACCAAGGCCCTATACAATTACAGAAAGAGATCCCTGCTCCTGAACTCAATCCTCTCACTATGAAAGCCAACATGCCATTTGCCTTCATCACCTACTGCTGCGCCAACAGATTTACTTTGAGCAACTGGTGCAAAAGGATACCCAGATCTCATTACACCTTCCCCTTTCCCAAATTGTCACCATTCAGATAATAATTTGCCTTCACGTTTTTGCTACCAAAGTTGATAACCTCACATTTATCCACCTTATACTTGATTTGCAACACATACGCCCACTCGCTCAACTTGTCCAAATCACACTGGAGAATATCTGTATCCTCTTCACAGTTCACCCTCCCACTCAGCTTTGTGCCACCTGCAAACTTGGAGATCTTCCAGTTAATTCCCTAATCTAAAAAGTTAATATACATTGTGAATAGCTGGGGTCCAACATTGATCCAATGGTACCCAATTAGACACTAGCTGCCACTGGAAAATGATCCATTTATTCCTACACTTTGTTCCTGAGTGGCTGCCAGTTATCTATCCATGTCAATATACTACCCCCAATTTCGTGCATTTTAATTTCACATGTGCAGGATCTTATCAAAAGCCTTGTCAAAGGAAGACCCCATAT